TTAGTTTGTTTTGAGCAAAGCAAAAACTCTACTCCTAAAACACATTCTGAATATTCTTTTACTCTAAATATATTTTCGTAGAGAAAGAAAGAACCTTTAAAACTCACAGCCACAAGCTTTCTAGTTCCTTTGACAACTGCTGGTTTTGTGCTAATAAAGACCAATTAGCACTGGGCTTTAGACAGCCATCTCACTGAACTATTTAATGTGACTTTCTTCTGAGAAATGAAATTGTGAATATGGACTCTGCAAGACTATAGACCAATCTTGGCTTACAGCCAGTTCACCAAGGCACCATGCTTCTGTGACGCTTCTTGGCAGGCAGCCAGTCAGCTTTCCTGGGGTCTGTGATCTTACTCCACACTCTCCATTTAAAGTTCTTGGGTAAGTAATAAAAATCCTTAGAAATCTCCAGAGGATTTTTTTTTCCTGTCATTCAGACACAATAGGTTTAAAAAGATGTCAGGGAAGTACACTGGTCCACAAGCAATAAACTCAACTACAAGAACAGACTATAATGGTCTTTAGAAATAAGTAGGGAGGAGCTATTGATGGGACATAAAGGGTAACCTCAAGGCCAATAAAGAAAAGAAATAGACTGCATGAGTGTGAGATTTATTCTCTATTTTAATATTTATAGAATCCCACATACCTAAGGAGAATGCTTTTCCAGACCTTTAGTAATGACAGATGAATTTGTAGTTATATTGTAAGGCACATTATATTTTCCTTTTATTGTTTTTTTTTTTAAACAGGTAAACATACGGAAGTTCAGAGAGACTGTGTAATTTGCCAACATCACATGACTTAATAAGTACTTAGTGGTAGGGTCAAATTTTTCACTTATACCATTCTTTCTTCCATATGCTTTACCCAGCTATGACACTATTTTATTATCACTCTTGTTATGATTTAGTTACTTGTTTCTCAAATTTTGTCAAGTGCAAACTAAATGCTAGACAAACTAAATGGTGAGCTAAACAAGAGAATAGGATTCAGTTTAAAAGTAAAACATTAATTAGATAACTTCATTAATTTTATATTAAAAGAAAAGATAGGTCCACCAAGTGGTTATAATTGAAGACTTCACATAATTGTGAAATTGGGAAAATTGTTTAAGAAAAGAGTCACTTGGGGACCAGCAGATGGCATAATGGTTACATTGCTGGACTCCCATGTAGTTGATATGGTTTGAGTCCCCGACCAGGCGGCTTAAAACTCACGTTGGGGAACCAGCAAATGGTGTAATGGTTGTGTCACTGGACTCCCGTGTAGTCGACCACAGTTCAAGTTCCGAATCTGGCAGCTTAAAATTCATGTCAGGCTGGTGTGCGTGTGTGCCCAGACTCCCGAGAGCAGAATGGAGGAGAGGAAATTGTGGGATGGCCATCCCTCATGGGGGAGGTGATTTCTTGTTTTCTGTCTCTCTGTCTCTCTTGGTCTCTCCAGCAAACACATGGGCCCTATAGCAAAAAATCTCTCTAAAAACAAAACAAAACAAAAACCTCATGCTGGATATGTGTGCTTGTGTGCTCAAAATCTCAAAAGGAGAATGATGGAGAAGTGATTGCAGCATGGCCATGACCCTGGGGGAAGGGGAGGATTTCTTACTTTCTGTCTCCCTGTCTCTTACTCTCTCTCTGGCAAGGGCACACATCCTATAGTAAAAATGTCTCTTAAAAGAAACAATCACTTGAGCTGAGACTTGAAGAGAAAATCTTACATGGATGAGTGTGGAGGGATGTGATCAAGTAAGACTACCCTGTTTAGGTGGAGAATTATGGGAAATGGGTAGAAGATGGACCACAATGGAGAGAAAAAAGAAGAGCTTATGTAAGATGATGCTAGAAAGAAGCCAGGACTAGACCATGCAAAGTCCTAGAGGTTCTCCAGGGTTTCACCCAAGGATTTCACAGATGAGGGCAAAGTTGAGAAAAATTGTGAGTTCAGTTCTGTACATAATGAGTTTGAGGTATTATTTTGGTGACAATGAAGAGGAAATGGCTATTAGGAAGTAATTATGCCCTTTGTATTTTACTATTTTTATATACATGACATTATTTATTACCATGTATATAATTTTTATATGTAATCAGTGTATATCGTTACAGTTTGTAAAATCTATACACTGAATATTAGTCCAATGAAAGACATTATCATCAACAGATAGTTTTCAATTTTTGTGTTCATTTAATCTTTTGATTCTTTCTTTTTCCCCTTAATTTCCTTCCTCTTATTCTCCCCCTTCTCCTACACTGTCGCTAGTATCTGCAATTGTTCTCTGTGTTTTTATATCTTACGATATTTCAGTTTCTTTCATACAGTGCATATACATTTGGTCTATATTAAGTGGAGATGTACAGTGCCTCTCTTTCATAATCTGACTTGCTTTGCTTAGCATCTGTTAAGTGAACCAGATACCACATGATCAACCCTGCTTTAGGTCCTACCCTGGCAACTTGAAGAGCAAGTGGTGTGCATGCAAGTATGTGTGCATATGCACATGCATGCCTCAGATTCTGACCAGATGGAGATATGGACATGAGATTGTGGTGTAATCAATCATGCCTTACTGAGGGATTCTCTCTCTGGTGAACACCTGTGCCTTCTCACAATTTAAAAAAAAAAAAAAAGGAAAATGATGCATGGGTTTAAATTTTTTTGGCAACAAGATAAACCTATATTGCATCTGTTAAGTGAACCAGATACCACATGATCAACCCTGCTTTAGGTCCTACCCTGGCAACTTGAAGAGCAAGTGGTGTGCATGCAAGTATGTGTGCATATGCACATGCATGCCTCAGATTCTGACCAGATGGAGATATGGACATGAGATTGTGGTGTAATCAATCATGCCTTACTGAGGGATTCTCTCTCTGGTGAACACCTGTGCCTTCTCACAATTTAAAAAAAAAAAAAAAAAGGAAAATGATGCATGGGTTTAAAATTTTTTGGCAACAAGATAAACCTATATTTTATTTTCCTATGAACTCTTTGAAGTTCCTTGTATAATGGAAAAGGTTAGAATATTGCTTTATGGAACCTCCCAAATTTTTCTCCCTATCCCCTTCTTTCTACCACCCAGAGCCACAACATGTATTGATTGTGTATAGAAAAACAAAAGAGGAAAAAAGTAGAGTCCAGAGAGACTGGAAAAAAAACTAGAGAATATTTGTAATAGAAACCAAGGTAGGAGAGGCTCATGAGAAAGGAATGGTCTACTATTCAAAATGATGCCAAAGTTACAAATAATGCGAAGACTGATAGCAACATTGAGGTGTTTGCTAGCCTTGCTAGTCACTTGAATTATATTCTCTTCTTAACATTCTTAGGTTTCTTATATTCACTTTTGAGTTAGACTAAAATAGGAAGAATCTGCCGGAAATTATTGACAACTAAAGCACAGTGTTGTGTAGGACTTCTTTCAAAACTCTTCTATATCAATTCATGTATATGAAACATACATACATTCATTTATGCATCATGCAGTTTTACAATTTCTTCATTTGTCAGTTAGATATCAGCTATTTATGATATAAATGAGTATGCTTTATTTTCACTCAAAACCGGGATTTAGAAAAAAAGCAAAATATTAGCTAAAAATTGATTTGAAAATATTCTGAATTTTCTTTTAATATTTAAAGAATATTCATTTTAAAAAAAATAGGTATTTAGAGATCACTTTTCAAGTTGCAGACCAACTACTAAAAATGATACTCTAGGACAAATGAAATGTCTAAAAAGAACATAGTCCAGATGGTGTGTTTATATTGCTTCGTTTTGTTTCATAGTAAATTACACTGTAATTTTTTTTTGAGAGGTTTTTGCTATATGGCATGTGCACTTGCCAGAAAGATAGAAAGATAGAGAGATGGAGAGACAGAAAGTGAGAAATCATCCCCCGCCCCCCCCCCCCCCGCGCGGCCCGCGGCGACACCCCTCCC